TAGGCAAGTTTTGGAAGATGCCATGGCAAAGAAAAATCGCAGAATACGATGTAAAGTCTACCTAACCTTCTTTATTGGCTTCTACGACAAGTTATTTGAAGTCAAAACTTACTATACCTGATTTATAACCTAATGAATGTCTCAAAACTATAAAAGAACTGCGTAGTTCGCTAAGCTAATTCTGAGTCGTACTAAATCGGCAGTCTGCATGCGACGCTAAGTTGAAAAAATATTATTTAAAAGCTGTATTTACTCAGACTTAGGTATTATGTTTTGGTATAATTATTGCCTTTAGATTATTATATACTTATCGCACTCGTCATTTAGTTGGTACTGTTGTCTCATTACATTTTATGCACATGACGTATTCTCATATCAGATTTTATCTCAACGTTGAAAAGATACAATTGTGATTCCAGTGAAACCTTCATTCAGAGAAAACATGATCTAGCCATTTTAATCTGTCATTACCAGTAATAATTATGAACTTTAGTACGCACACACAAACTGATAAGCCAGACAATGTTTTATTGAAAGGATTATACCTACCTAGTTGTATCTTGATTATGTTGACAAGATTTACACATTGGCTTTGAAACTACCGACTAATCAGTCGTTTAGCAAGGATTATTAAGGCATTTTGCGATGTTTACATCACTTCACAATTTAAGATTGCTTATCATGAAACAATTAAATGCCATTGAAGATATAAAAATTAAAGCCTAAGGCACGCAGCGTAATTGTAGCGCAAAGTGTGCGCAGCGATATTATTATGTTTATGTCACCGGAAAATAACAAGAACCGCAAATTTATAAATTTCCTAGGAAATTGATAAACTTCCGTAGAATTTTAAATTAGAGATGTATTATTTTACGCCACATTTTCGCAAATTGATAGCAACGTCTCGTGGTAAATTGATAAACTTACGGAAACCTATCCATAAATTAAAATCCATAGCAATTTCCTTCTTGTCTCACTATAAACAACAGCATTTCTTTTACAACCAAAGTGAAAAATTATAAAGTTCGTTAAAACCTTTGTCTGTCTTATAGGTTTTTATTATTATAACGCAATAAAGTAAAAGTGAAATTAATTGAAACAACTGCTTCAATGAAATATGAATAATATTGAAACAAGTGTGAGGATTTCCCTTTACGATTCACTCCGAGAAAGAAAAGTCACGGAAATAACAAAGAAAGTGAGTTTTAACTGTTTTATGTGACAAAAATATCAGAAACAACTAGTTACCGTGACCTAAATTATATTTTTGTTTATTAAAATTTGTGTTATAGTTAGCGATGTTTAGTGAGTGAAAAACGCTAACTAGTGTATTATGGTTTCAGTTAAAAGTAAAATTACACCTGAATTACGTACCTCTGTCTAAAATCCTACTAATCCTTAATATTTTGCATTTATTAATGCGAACTAGAGTTTTAGTTTTTAATTTGGGACCTAATTAATTCATTATTGAAGTATTTATTTTGCAGAATTTTAAGGATGATTCTTGGGTTTTACTTAAAATAAGTAATGAACAATGAAATAAGTATCTATGTTTTTTTTATTAATTTGTTATCTTTTCAACGATGTGTAAGAATGACTGACGACATCACATCAGACTATCCATTTTTATTACAAACTAGCTGACCCGGCGAACTTCGTACCGCCTTAGCGTAGAGATTTTCTTTATATTTTTTCCGTAAAAACCTTGTACAGAGTATTAGAAAACTACAAAAAAAAAATCAGCCAAATCGGTCAAGCCGTTTTCATGTTATGTCGTGACAACGGAAAACGGGTTTCATTTTTATATAATAATATATAGAATTACAAAATAGGTCATAATTACTAAGTAATAGGATACTCAATACTCAATCATTTATTTCATACCACGGTGTTTACTTTGATGAACTGTCTGTACCTATAGAGAAATATCAAACTATTATTTACCCACTCATTTGATCAGACTTTAACAACCACTCGAAGTAAAGACAGGCTGACAGAAAATCAATACGTGCAGTAACTACGACTCAATACAGCCAACAGACGCGTAGGTGGATTTATTGACTCTTCTTTTGTACTGGAAATCCTTGAGAAGGCTTATTTTTAGCGATATGGATCCAGTGTTCATTCGATATTCAAAACAAGTACATAACTACATAGTTGTTGCAGATCAAATTTTACTGTCGTATTTTTTTCTTAGACGATGATACATTAATCTATACTAACTAATTATTATAAACTAGCTTTCCGCCCGCGGCTTCGCCCGCGTGGAATTTTGTCTGTCACAGAAAAACTTTATCGCGCGCGTCCCTGTTTCAAAAACCGGGATAAAAACTATCCTATGTTCTTTCCCGGGACTCAAACTATCTCTATGCCAAATTTCATCAAAATCGGTTGCGAGGTTTAAGCGGGAAAGCGTAACAGACAGACAGACAGACAGACAGACAGACAGAGTTACTTTCGCATTTATAATATTAGTTGGGATGGGAAAGTAACTCTGTCTGTCTGTCTGTCTCGCTTTCACGCCTAAACCACTGAACCGATTTTGATAAAATTTGGCATAGAGATAGTTTGAGTCCCGAGAAAGGACATAGGATAGTTTTTATCCCGGTTTTTGAAACATTGACGCCGCGATAAAGTTTTTCTGTGACAGACAAAGCTAGTGGTTTATACGTAGCTAGTGGGTTATAGAAAATTTTAATTGCATTTCTGTTAGAGCCATTAGGGAAATAATGTAGATATACTAGAGGCTCTAATGTTATGTTAAGAAACTTACAAAAGAAAGTATTTGTCATACATCATTTTAAACAATTGATCTCCATGCATACCTACTACCTAACTAATGCCTGTTCAATCAGAACAAATGATCTGACTGAAAATGGATAGGTTAGGTAGGTACCTACCTACCTTCCTCCCATAGTAAACAAACATTGAGTTCGGAAAAACCTTTCCTAAAAAATCCATTAGGGGATTCCCCCTTCACGGATTGTAACAAGTTTATTAAAACAATTAAGTTAATAAATAAGCAAATTGTCTATTGTTATGTGCCTTAAAAAATCATAAGTTATGGTCAAAACGGGAATATTCTTTGAATTTCCCTAATGGGTAACTGCACCCTTTCCCAAAGCTAACAAAAAACATGTAAATCGGTAAATTGACACCACCAATGATTTGACGAAGGGAGACACATGACATAGGTTCTCTATGACGTCACTTGATCGCTCGATGACATAGTTATTGATTCCAAAGTAACTAAAATCGGACTTTACAGTTAGGTGATTGAAAATTAATTGAGTTTCTAGGTCGAGTCTCTTAAAATAATTGGATAAAGGTGTTAACCATTTACCTATAAACATCAATTATTGCCTACATAAAGTAATATTTTCCACGTAAGTTATCTATGAATGGATTATTCTTTATTGTATCTTAATATTATGAATGAGTAGCACCTTTACATGGTTGTGTCCAGTAGTAATACAGAATAGATCTATAGTCTATCCAATATAGCTTGATTAGAATGACGGCTGTCAAACGAATGTGACTAGTGATGGGTATGTTTCATACGGTTCGCATAGATGTATCGATAAGTTTTCGAAAAAATGATATAAAAAAATGCACCCAATTTTTCTTCATATCTTTATTAATAAAAATGACAATTATGATTTAAATTTAAAGACAGTAAAATTTAAAAATCATGTCAAGGGTGTACAACCTAAGTCGTAGTCATTATCATCAGTGTTCTTCAGTGGTTTTTTCCTCTCGCTAGAGGGCGGTGGGCATCTCTTCTAGAGCAACGGTGCTATGAATACCNCTGGAAGTGACATAAGATTCCACGCGTAAGTGTTTATTTCGTGATTTCCGACATTGGATCATTGTAAACATTTTTCACATTTTTTACAGTAATTTCTTCCTAAAACGTTTTACCAGTAATTACACTTATCATTTTTAATGATACCTATGTCAAGAAATAAAGATTTTACATTGGTTTCATTGAATTTGAGCAATTTTATATTTTTTGTTTATTTAGAAAGAGCGAGTCTGCCCACAGAGAGCGAGATAGTGATACTTAGTTTGTGCTTCAAGTAGGTATTCGGAGTGTGGCCTCCATTTTTATCTGTAGCTTCATGATTGACACCACCAATGATTTGACGAAGGGAGACACATGACATAGGTTCTCTATGACGTCTCGGTGACGTAGTTATTTATTCCAAAGTAAGTAAAATCTGACTTTACAGTTAGGTGATTGAAAATTAATTGAGTTTCTAGGTCGAGTCTCTTAAAATAATTGGATAAAGGTGTTAACCACTTACCTATTAACATCAATTCTTGCCTACATAAAGTAATATTTTCCACGTAAATTCTATGAATGGATTATTCTTTATTGTATCTTATGAATGAGTAGTTTAACCTTTACATGGTTATGTCCAGTAGTAATACAGAATAAATCTAGGTACCTAGACCTACATTGTTTCAAATAGCGGATGTTATACTGAATTGAATTAAATATTCAATAGACTTAGGAAGATAATGCTATTATCAAAACTATGAGAGCCATAGGCCAATGTTTACATTTTGTTTGAGTCAAATGTTGTAAACAGAAGTAGAAATACCTTTCAACAGTAAACACAAAACAAACCTTTAAGCGAATGACTAACATTGTTTACTAAACCCTTATTTTTTTCCACGTCAACACTCGTCACAACAATATTCCTCAATAATAATGATTCACAAATAAATTATAATGCAATGTTTACAATTTCACGATAGCTGTTATCTATCATTAAGTATTAAAACGCCTTTTTAAGTAGGTCATTCATTGACTATGCGCTTAGCATNCTTAGCAGACACGTCACTCTTCTAACTTTAGCAGGATAACATGACGTTACAGACTGGCAAGGGCTGCAGTCGTCTACCTTCGTTAACGATCGGAGCATTCCGGATTGTGCGTCTCACTCGCACTTACAGAATTCACGATCATACCACCCTATCGAATTTCTGCTCGCACAGATACCTGGCATATCGCTCGCGTCGCGCCAGTACATATTTTTAACTCACAAAGTGTACACGTATCATACGCGATTAAACGCCGCTGTATTTTTATAACTGAACGCAAAAAATAAACATCTCGTTTGATTGATAAGAAATCGGATTTTGGTGTTGAAATGGCTAAGGTAAATACTAATTTACTTGCAGTGGCGTAAACTGTACATATTCCTTGTGTACGACGATTATTTTCTTTTTGCTTTGCGAATATCGTACCACCCGGTGACGTGCAGTGGAGATAACTAACTATAAAATATAATGTTTAGTTGAATCAGCATTCAGAATAATCAGATTCTGTTTTTGAGTTTGCACTTTAATTACTCGTGCGCTTCTTGTATTATTAATGCAAGAGGAAAGTTTCACTAAATTATAATAGGAAAATGTAAATATTATAGTTATTATTTTTTTCTAAACTCGATACTCAATATTCATACCTCAATACTCAAACATAAACAATTCGATGTCGAATCAATTATGCAAAAATTCTAGTTATTTGTTTAATAACTGTGAAGAATATGCATGAAGTTTGAAATAATTTTATTCCTCTATTTTAATACAAACTACAATTAATTGACCTTACTCTACGTCCGGTTAGATAACAGTGTTTTTACACAAAGTGTACAATTTCATAACTGTGACGAATTAGGAATTTATTCGGGCAACATTGATTGTCAAAATCAATATCCCGTGAAAAAAAAACAAGTGTCAAACGTCAGTGTCGGGAAATTACGTGCTGAGGAAAAATCCGGTGTTTTCTTCAATTTTAATGTCTTTCTCTATCAAAAACCTATTGATACAAGCGAGGAATAGCTACAAGAGGTTCGTCGAAATGAACAAAAACAGTTACTGGGTACGTTTCCACTAATTAAGTCACATTAATCGAACCGCCAATTTCGTAACCATACGGGTCATTTGCCTTTGTTTTAAGCGTAAATTTCGTATTGTAATAATTAAAAAACTTATTACAATCCTTTCTAATAGCTTTCTAATTACCATTATAACATTTCAAGCCGCTAAATGGCTAAAAAGCATCAGTGATAACGTAGTGAAAAATTCCCTATCTCATCTCATAATTTAGGTTTTTCTTCACTTAATAACCTTGTATTTCAGATTTCAGTGACGTAGTATTCATCTTGCTTCCTTAACGGTCTGTTTTCCTTAGTTTTTGTGCGGTTTCGTCTCAATAAATTCGTTCATGAATGAACTTAATATAATGTTTCAACATTACCTTTCCTTATTATATTCAAAACTAGCTGTTCCCGCGACTTCGTACGCGTGAAAAAAAGTTTAAATAACATTTCCCGTTTTTGCAACATTTTTCTTTACTGTTCTGCCCCTATTGGCTGTAGGGTGATGTTATATGATAGTGTTTCCTTATTTTAATCAAAGTTACAGAAAATTTTGTGTATTTTTATTGGTTTCATATAAGAAATATCTAATCAGACAGCTTGTATACTTGTAAAACATAAACTTACATGAGTTATTTAGTAGATATTGGCTTCTTTTGTAAGTAATTTTGCTAAATTGTAAAACTTTTTATCAGTGTAAGATTTGATCTAACAGTCATAGTGTACTATTTTTGAAACATATCAATAGCTGATTGACTTTGAAAATCTTTTAAAGAAAAGATTTTAAAGAATTCCATAATAATTTTCTGCCTTCTCTTTCTACCTGTTCTAAACAACTGTCCTATAGGTTGTCTGGAAGAAATTACTTTATAGTGATAAAATAACTTAGATCTAGATCTGTCTTTTGAAAGAAAGAAATAAATTTTTTGGTACTAATAGAATGATACAAATCAACATTAAGAGCTTAATGCTCTTCATGTTGATTTGTATGTGTATTTCTTTCTTTTCTTGCATTGTGTGGTGTACATTTATTATTTATTTTATTTATTTAATGTTCTGTCAATCTAGGGTAAACTGCCAGTCATTGGACACTTAAGAAAGTTATTGGACAGTTATTTACTGAATTAAAAATAGCATTTCTATTTCAACAACTGAGAGATTCTGACTGATGGAGATAAAAGGGTGTTTTTTTAAAGGAATATTCATTGTATTTGAAGGAATATTCATTTTAAGAAAATTCAAGGGTTGTTTTGTCCAATGACTGGCAGCGTCCAATGACTGTCGGTTTACCCTATGTATCTTTTGTTTACTTATTTCTTATTCAGGAAAAATGCTAATTGTATTGTACATTTGCATAAAGTATTACAGTATTTTTACACCACAATATTCCTATATTAAGGTTGAGTTGCACCACCTAACTTTGACGATAACCGGTATTTTTTGTATGGAATTTGACAGATTTTTTACGTTTGTCAAAGTTAAAGTTGTGTAAATGGTGAAACCCAGCCTTAGTATTGTGAAGACAAAACATGCAAATGTAAATACATACTATAATTCTCAATCACGCTGATTCGTGCAATCTACATTTGCAATCAGATGTGACACTCAATTTAAAACACAATAAAATCACTGACATGCATCTAGACGTTGTTAATTAACAATCAACGAAGCTGCATAATTAAACACAGATTGAATATGTCACCGCAATTGGTGTTTAACAACGTCTGATATATTAACGTTGAGTTTTAATGGTGAATTGTGCGTAGTACCAGGCATGTTCATCTCCGCGAGTTTACATCGAAAACAAAACACGTACGATGGCCCCCTACAGGAGTACTATTCGACAAGGCCTCACATACGAGAGAACATTGACTCACGCACGCGTATTCTTGTGTATGATGGAAGTAGGGTCGCCAGGCGTCCGGCTTTAGCCGGACATGTTTGGCTTTTTAGGGGCTTGTCCGGCCTGTCCGGCTTTTGTTAGCTTATGTGGCTGCCGCGCCAGTCGAAACTCGAGCCACAGAATAATGTTCATTCAAAGATGATAGTACCCACTCATGAGCTATGACGCTTATTGCACCCCCCCCCATGACATGGTAGCTATTGAAAAGGCTTGTCCGGCTTTTAGGGTTAAATGTCCGGCCAAATGAAGCACAGAGTCCGGCTTTTGTGTTTTTGGACCTGGCAACCCTAGATGGAAGAAAATAAAGAAAATGGTGTACTCAATACAGTGCAGTATTTAACTGCCTAAATAATAATAAAAACACTGAATGTACTTTTTTAAGTTGCCTAAAGACACTGAGAGGTAAATAAGTAGTTATTCATGATAATTCATGCTAAATCATGTATTTCCGTATTTTTTCCGCCATTTTCTGCAGGTTGGCACCTCACATCACATCATTTTACAGAAGTCAGCCCTATAGCTTCGGCGCAGTACCGATCACTGACGTTTGTCAACAAAATGGTGCTTGACTCTTGAGACAAGCTAAATTACACCATATTGTTAATGACATTGAGTATACATTTTTTTAAATACCTTCGCGAAGTAAAACATCTGTACGTAGTACTTATTATTATTCTGTGGTAGTACGCCTCATGTTTAATTGATCACATGCAACTAATTTTGCGATTGTTGGACGAGGAAAATGTGGTTTAAAAATGCAAAGTAAATTCCTTTTTGTGGCCAGAGTCCATTCAATCTAGTTATTTGCTTCTTGTGTTCATTGATTACTAGCTTTCCGCCCGCGGGTTCGCCCGCGTGGAATATTGTCTGTCACAGAAAAACTTTATCGCGCGCGTCCCTGTTTCAAAAACCGGGATAAAAACTATCCTATGTCTTTTCCCGGGACTCGACTAAGTATCTCTTTGCCAAATTTCATCAAAATCGGTTCAGTGGTTTACTCGTGAAAGAGAGACAGACAGACAGAGTTACTTTCTCATTTATAATATTAGTATAGATTGAATTTAACAACTTAGGTTTGAATTTAAAACTTGTGTGGCTTAATTACTATGAGTTAAGGTTAAGTGTGCAGTGTGCTTGCTAGCAAGAATGTGAAAAAATTCTATGAAGATTTTAGTTCATGAAATGAAATAATTTGAAATGTATGGAGTTTGACAGACTTGAAGTTTGTTAAAGTTACTGTAAAATGGCGTAACCCAGGGTTTTTCTATTTGTACGTAATTTGTCGATGTATCGAAATGATAACAATCCCCCACTGAAAACGAATGCCATATTGTCTAGGCACATCTATAACTTAATGATAACTTGATAAATACCTACTTTATATGTTTAAGAGATACAGAAGCACTTGGTTTACATAAACTGATCAGAGATACAATCAAATTGTTTATTTTACAAAGTTATCTTAAACTTACATAATGTGAATGACCTGTACAATAACACGTGTCTAAAATAATAATAATAATATGTTGGTTTTGATAGGGTTACTAATATTACAATGTATCTTCAACCCTGAAAAAGTATTATCCTATAGGATGTCGGTAATTTTTCCAACAATTAATTACTTCTTTAAAATTATATATCTCTGTAAATAAACTCAATTTCGTTTTCATGCACTTGCCCCTAAAATCTAACTAGCTAAAGTCATAAAGCTACATCAAAATCCGTCCAGCAAACATCTATGCTCACAAAATTTCGAGAGTAATTATGACTTGTAGTAGAGATTAAAGATTAAAACATTTAAAAACACAATATTATGTTTAAAAAGAACATCATGACTGGTCTGTAAAACTGTAAATTTTTGATTTAGGGCTGTTTTTTCAACCGTCAGGTATCTTTTATCTGAAGAATAAACTTGTCATTTTGACATAATTCCCATACTGATAATGTCAATGTGCCAAACTTATTCTTCAGATAAAAGATATCTGACGATATAAAAATCAGCCCTTAATAAAATAGTGACGTCATCATTATTGCCATACAAAGGACCTATCTTTTGGAGACTCTCATTTCGACAGCACATAAAAACTGTGTCAATCGACTGATGGCTCATTAGGGTGGGGTTAAATAGAGACACAAGCTGATAACTGATACCTTATCAATAGTCAACACACCCCTAACCTTGCATGTTGTTCAGATTAAAACAAAATACTTGTTGTTGATAAGATAGCAATTTAGGCAGTAATATACAACCTGTGTCGCAATTACTATTATCATAATAAGCTTTAGTAAATATGTATTGCTGACGTCATTAAAAAGGCTTTGATACACAGCCGGGGAAGCGAGACGTAGCGATACATGTAGTCAGCAGTCCCAAACT